TAGGGCCATACAAGACAGTCGTGCTTAAGGAAAGGTGCTAATACTTCATTTGGAGCTGATGTTTGCGGCAGGATTTAATTGTAAACATTAAACAACTAATACAGGGGATGCCAGCCATTAAAAACTCAGTCCCAGATCCTCTGGGTCGGGGAGATAATTGGCTCAACTCCATGGACTTGGGGGTGTGTCTGTGAAGCACCGACAGGCAGAACCGAACGTGGGACCTCTACATGCATGAACCTCTACAGCTTGAGCTAAAAGCTCTCGGCTAAGGCTGGAGAGCAAACTCATTCTCTCTAGGTCACTCCATGGAACAATGCTCCACTCCCAGTAGGTGTGTGGGTTACAGCCACACTGCATAATTTACCCGTGTCCAGGCACCCACACATGTAACCCTACTCTTGCCAAGAGCGTCTGAAAGTGCGCACACTGCATTGGTAACACACGCCTGGTCGCCATGTGGCCACACCAACAATTCTGGTGCACGGACTGTTACCCGGCACATGGGCTGCTGGGGGCATAATCTAGAATTATTAGCACTTTGCTAGCTGGAGCCGTGCTAGGGTGTGATTTGTATTGTCTAGCTGTGCTATTTGCACCAGCTGAGCATCGGATCCGTTGTGCTCATGGTGCCAAACACCTTCAGTAGTAGCCCTCTGGGCCTAATTCCCAACAGCACCTTCAAAAACGGATCCTGTTTCCCACTGACCAGAGTCAGCATGAGAGCTTTGCATTCTGTGCCCTGCCTGTGTTGTCTGAATAGCATCATTAACTTCTTCTTGGGTTTCCCAAAGCTAAGAAAGACTCCGTGACAAAGAAACAGAGCACCCGACGAAAACTCCATTCCTTCTACGAGGTGAAGCAGGAAATAGGAAGGCGAGTGTGATTTTTTTTTCACTTTTAAAATGTCCTAGCAGGGGAATGTATGAATGCCTGACTGGGGTCTCTCAATATGTAAAGAACTATTGGTAGAGGCCGGGTCTACTCTAGACCCAGAAGGTTGGGTTAACGTACACAGCAGTCATAGCAGGAGTCAGCTTATCTTAAGCCGAGCTTGGTGTTTTCTTCACAGAAAGAAGCTGATCAGAGTAAACACTCCCATGAGCTTTCCTTACCTCTCATGATTGCAGTGAGTACTGGTGCCGACCAGAGCCGCCCTCAGTATTCAATTTAGCGGGTCTTAACTAGACCCACTAAATTGAATGCCAGAAGATCGATCTCTGGCACAGTGAGTGGGGACATGGCCCTAGAGTCAGCACACTTGATAGACTCTAAGGAAGGGAGCTTCTCGCCTTACTCTCTCATCCAAGCATGGATTCAGGCTGCTAGACTCCAGACCTTGTGTCCCTCACTTGCCCAGGAGGAGGATCCCAAAACAAAGATGATGCAATAAAAACGGAGGGCACAGTTCATTGCAGTACAAGTGTACAAGATTAGGGGCAGCCTGAGTGTGCCACTCCCTAGGCAGTCCCAGTAGAAAGGGGAAGAGACAGCTCCTCTTTAAGGGAAGAGGAGAGCATGTGGTAGCCAGTTTATGAGACAATATTAATCCCAACCCTGTGGCAGGGATGGTGTTTCCCATCCCCTCGCAGGAAAATCCACACAATGCAGGTGATGGGAGAAATGAAGCCGAATACACAGTGGTGTGAGTAGCTGTGAAACCCAAGTCTGGGGTGACCACCTGATTTCTGAGAGGAGGCAGGCATGAAACACATGCCAATGCATTCTGCCCACACCCCCAGGGTAGCACCTCTTTTGTTATTTACATACAGTTTTATTTCATTTGTTCCTTTTTTAAGTTGAGCCGTCAGGCTGCATTCAGCATTGGCTTAAGCAGGCAGAGCTCTCGTGGACTTCCTTCGCTTGCTGAGCCCAGTTACGCCTGGACTTTATTTGACCCCCCTCCCCCTTTTCCTTTTCCACTTTGAAATACAGTAGTTAGTGTGGTAAAAACCCATGGCTGAAATCCTAGTCCCAGGGTACGTCTGCACAGCAGGGCTAAACTCCATAGGGCCATACAAGACAGTCGTGCTTAAGGAAAGGTGCTAATACTTCATTTGGAGCTGATGTTTGCGGCAGGATTTAATTGTAAACATTAAACAACTAATACAGGGGATGCCAGCCATTAAAAACTCAGTCCCAGATCCTCTGGGTCGGGGAGATAATTGGCTCAACTCCATGGACTTGGGGGTGTGTCTGTGAAGCACCGACAGGCAGAACCGAACGTGGGACCTCTACATGCATGAACCTCTACAGCTTGAGCTAAAAGCTCTCGGCTAAGGCTGGAGAGCAAACTCATTCTCTCTAGGTCACTCCATGGAACAATGCTCCACTCCCAGTAGGTGTGTGGGTTACAGCCACACTGCATAATTTACCCATGTCCAGGCACCCACACATGTAACCCTACTCTTGCCAAGAGCGTCTGTAAGTGCGCACACTGCATTGGTAACACACGCCTGGTCGCCATGTGGCCACACCAACAATTCTGGTGCACGGACTGTTACCCGGCACATGGGCTGCTGGGGGCATAATCTAGAATTATTAGCACTTTGCTAGCTGGAGCCGTGCTAGGGTGTGATTTGTATTGTCTAGCTGTGCTATTTGCACCAGCTGAGCATCGGATCCGTTGTGCTCATGGTGCCAAACACCTTCAGTAGTAGCCCTCTGGGCCTAATTCCCAACAGCACCTTCAAAAACGGATCCTGTTTCCCACTGACCAGAGTCAGCATGAGAGCTTTGCATTCTGTGCCCTGCCTGTGTTGTCTGAATAGCATCATTAACTTCTTCTTGGGTTTCCCAAAGCTAAGAAAGACTCCGTGACAAAGAAACAGAGCACCCGACGAAAACTCCATTCCTTCTACGAGGTGAAGCAGGAAATAGGAAGGCGAGTGTGATTTTTTTTTCACTTTTAAAATGTCCTAGCAGGGGAATGTATGAATGCCTGACTGGGGTCTCTCAATATGTAAAGAACTATTGGTAGAGGCCGGGTCTACTCTAGACCCAGAAGGTTGGGTTAACGTACACAGCAGTCATAGCAGGAGTCAGCTTATCTTAAGCCGAGCTTGGTGTTTTCTTCACAGAAAGAAGCTGATCAGAGTAAACACTCCCATGAGCTTTCCTTACCTCTCATGATTGCAGTGAGTACTGGTGCCGACCAGAGCCGCCCTCAGTATTCAATTTAGCGGGTCTTAACTAGACCCACTAAATTGAATGCCAGAAGATCGATCTCTGGCACAGTGAGTGGGGACATGGCCCTAGAGTCAGCACACTTGATAGACTCTAAGGAAGGGAGCTTCTCGCCTTACTCTCTCATCCAAGCATGATTCAGGCTGCTATAGACTCTAAGGAAGGGAGCTTCTCGCCTTACTCTCTCATCCAAGCATGGATTCAGGCTGCTAGACTCCAGACCTTGTGTCCCTCACTTGCCCAGGAGGAGGATCCCAAGACAAAGATGATGCAATAAAAACGGAGGGCACAGTTCATTGCAGTACAAGTGTACAAGATTAGGTTTGTTTGCAGCCACCAGCCCTGACTCTCAGGGCACGTCTACATTACAGAGTGAAAGTCAAATTAAGCTATGCAACGTGACCTATGTCAATTGCGTAGCTTAACTTGAAATCGCTTAATTCAGCTTTTGGAGCTGTCTACACAGTAGGAAGTTGAAAGAAGAACACTCTTCCTTCAACCTCCCTTACTCCTCGTAAAATGAAGATGACAGGAGTCAGAGTTAGAAGCCCATTATTTTGAAATAACAGGCTCTCTGTGTAGACATGCTCTTTTGTTATTTTGGAATAACACCAGTTATTCCGAAATAATGCTGCTGTGTAGACATAGCTTCAGTGTCTTCTGCTGTTGTTTAGCTCTAATATACCCCTAAATGTCTTCTCAGAGCCTAATTCTGCTAGGGTATGTCTAGACGACAATGCCTTTGTCACCAGAGGCATGTAAATTTGACTACCCGACATAGTAAATGAAGCCGGGATTTAAATATTTAAATATTAAAATAAAAATGGCGGCCGCGCTGTGCCGGCTCAGCTGATCATTGGCACAGTGCACGAGTCAAGGGACGTCTGCACAGCAGGGCTAAACTCCAAATCAGCAACACAACTTGTCCCAGGGTGCGTCTGCACAGCAGGGCTAAACTCCAAATCAGCTACACAACTTCATCATCATCAACAACCATGGGCTCAACCCACGTTGGTATCTGATGCCTCCCTCGCTATTTCCTTCCATCTTTCCCTGTCCAGTGCGGAGTGGCTTAGTTTCTGTAGACTAGCTCTGCACCAATCTACTGTATCATCTCCTCCGGCTTCATTGACTATGTCGGGTAGCCTATTTTACATGCCTGTGTCGGCAGAGGCACATAGTCTAGATGCACCCTAACGTGCTACAGGACTTCTGGTGCTAAGGGTGTAACTGGCAACTCTTGGTCCATAACCAGTTCAGCTTTGGGGGGCCAGTCAGCAGAAGGTGACATAATCTCATACACTATAGAGGCAGATTGTTACATTAGGCTGCATGTAAGGTGAATGTGGAAGGAAGGATTTGAGAGAAAAGACTGCATGAGGGGGAGAAGAATGCAAGCATCTTGAATCTGACATTCCGAAGGACACACGGCAAATCCTATTCTCAGGATCTTTATATAACAACTCCTCTCGAACGCCATCCTTCTCTTCGAATCTTTCATTATCATCCATGTCTCACATCCCTGAAACATGCTGCTAAATAACCTTGAGTTACGCTAATTGCATAGCTTAAGTTGAAATAGCTTATTTTCAATTTGGCCACATCTACACAGCACTTATTTCGAAATAGCACTTTTCCCTCCACTTCCCTTACTCCTTGTATGATAAGGTTTACAGAAGTCAGAGTAAGAAGCCCGTTATTTCGAAATAAATTCAAAATAACGGGCTTGCTGTGTAGATGTGCACTACGTTATTTCGGAATAATGTTTGTTATTCTGAAATAATGCTGCTGTGTAGACGTACCCCGCAGTGAAGTCAATGGCAAATGCCCCTTGATTTCAGTGGGGTCAGGATTTCACTGCAGGTCTTTAGTATTGTTCTCCACAAGTGCAATGTAAGTTCGCTGGTCTGCTTTTTCAGTGTATTTCTACCCAAGTAACCAAGGGCAGAACTGTGCCCAGGTTTGCAAACTTCTGAAATGTCTAAATCTTGGGAGTTGATGGGATTGTCTGTCCTGCTCCATGGATGCAGGTGTCCTGGAGATCTTTAGTGAAGGGTGGAAGGGACAATAAAACAATCTGTGTATGCATAGAAGAGAAGCGCCATGTCTGTCCACCAAGAGCCAACCGAAGGTCTTCAGCACACGCCCTAACAATGGTCCTAAGGAATCTCAGAAGAATAGCTGTGTTAGTCTTTAAGGTACCACAGGACTACTCATTGTTTTTAGAGACTAACCAAAATATCTAGAATCATGTGTTCTCATGGGCAATGCGCACTTCCTCAGATGAATTGGAGTGGAAATAACAGAAACCAAGAAATACATATAACAACAGAAGTACCTGTCAATAGCCTCATTAACACAGGTCCTACAACGGAGAGGTGCGTCTTCTGCTGTTATATATCTCTTGGTTTCTGTGATTTCCACCCCAATTCATCTGAGGAAGTGAGCGTTACCCACAAAAGCTCATGATTCTAGATATTTTGGTTCGTCTCTTAGGGTGTGTCTAGACTACCTAGTTTTGTCGACAAAAGTGGACTTTTGTCGACAAAACTATACCAGCGTCTACACTACCGCTGAGTTCTGT